GATTGTGTTTTTAATCATAATTTTTGTGAGGATTTCAATAGCACCATATTAAAAACATGATTTTTTATTTAAAATATATTAAAAATATTATTTTTATAATATTTTATAAAAATTACTATGTTTCTAAAGTAAATAATATTATTTTATAATATAATAATTTTATTTTTTAAATACATAGTCAAAACTGATAAATTTAATTATATTAATATTAATATGCATTAAAGTTTACAATATAATATAAATTTTTAGAAAATACATAAATAAAAACTTTTATAAATTCAATTAAAAAACTGCAGCGCGATGGCTCATTTATTATTTAAAACAAAAGTTAGGCACATTTTAATTTTTAGTGTTTTTTATTTCAGAGTTAGAATACATTAAAATATACTTTTTTAAATTTTCATAATATTAAAAATAAATAATTGTTTGGGGATGATTGCTTATAAAAGGATACATTTCATCGTCAACTAAAAGACTTTATTCTTTGTACCACAAATTCTATTTAAAAGGAGTTTTGAAATTTTATTATATCCAAACAACATAATAATCTTTAAAAAGAAAAAAATTGATCTAGGAGCCCAAAACTCAATTTATTGTTGTTGTTTATTTAATTTCTAACAAAATAATAGCTTTTCTTTACGAGGAAAAAGGATTTTATAGTTAGAATTGGTGAGTTCTCGTTATAGTGGCAAAAGAAAGATTGTTATACTATTATTGACTAGATTTGGCAGGCCCTCCTATTTGGCATGAGTTCAGGTGTTGTTCCCAAATAGGACAAATAGCACTTGTGGGGACAGAACAGAAAGGAAAATTGAGATATTCACATCCCACAAATCAAGGACAAAATGGTAATTGGGAAGTAGAAGACAGGATAACAATGAAGTATTGGGTTAGCAGGGGCCAGTAGGCTCCCAATACCAGCATGAAAGCAACATATCATCCCTGAAATACAAAAAGAAGAATCTCAACATTTGTCTTTTGTGTGCACAAGCTCAAATGGTAGATGGAGCCGACATTTGGGAATCAAACGCTGCTGAGAGCCAACTACCACTCTACAATCCCTTATCAGCTCCTCTTGGCTTTTTGTTTGCTCTTTGCTTTGCTTTGGTTTTGCTTTATCAACCCTAAGATCGTGTGAAAGGTCGCATGGCTTTAGAACTGTCGATATATTTAACATCAAAATAAGCAAAGCCCATGTGGAATATAGACAAAAGAAAACAAACTGAATGAGAATCATCGATGTGGGTGTAGTCCTAGTTCATTTGAATCAAGTTCCTGCCATTTTCGATCGGATTGGAGCAAAAGAATAGCTAGGCTTGGAATCTCTTTATATAAAATCATATCAAAAGCTCCTTCTTCACAGTTCAAATATGGCATTGATTTGAAGCTATCTCTAGTGCTCTACTGTTAAACATTGTACAGGACGGTTGGTAAAGAAAATAAAAAGGACTTTTGGCAAAGCTTCAAGCTCTGATCACTCACCAAAACAAAGTAATTGGTTAGCACTGCACAAACTCAGCCTCATGTCATACTCAATACTTGAGGTGTAAAAACTGCAAAAGCCATATATGTAAAGGTATCAACTTAGTAAAAAGAAGAAACTTATTGCTGAATATACTGGTTTTTGCGGTGGTGGAACTTCACTTAATAAAATATATCTGAAAAGTGAGATACTATGGGACAACCTGCAATGACAAGCCTCACTTTCAGTTATTAATCTACAGTTCCTTAATTAGTTTTCCCCTATTCCATTAGGCGGTACATCACTTTTTTTAATTATTAAGAATGCATACACTCCTCTTAGTTCTTCTCCGATCTCAAACTATTTGATACAAGCAGTGAATGATTAGATTATATGTTAAGAATGATAATGACCAACGAAGCTTTGTCTTAATGATAAAGAAAAGGTTTTGGTCCTCCGCCTCTTGATTTAATGCTTAAGGAAGTTTTAAAAAAGATGAAATTTTGGACTATACTTTCTTGTAAAAAATTTAAAATTTAGTTTAATTTTTTATGTTGATTTATTTGTTTAAATGTTTTGTTTTACTTCTTTCATAAATATTCTATTTGATATAAAAAATTATTTAACTGTAATCGTAATTTCTATTTGTAATATAAAATTTCATTGAAAAAGAACAATCAAATTCCATTAACTATATTAATTTTTTTACTAGCTTTGTTAATCATTAATGCAGAAACATTTTATAATTTTTTATTTTAAATTTAAAACTCGATATTCGAATACAAATGATTTTTCTGAAATAGTGATGTAGAAATGGAGTCCACTTAAATTATTTATTGTTTATTGCTACTTCCATTTCCATCGATACGGTGCACCAATGAATCGGACGTATAAGAGAGAGAAAAAGATCAGTCAAAGATTTTGGGTTTGAAATGATTAAAGCGGTGGGGATGTCTTTACCCAAATGAAAATGATATTTTATGAAAAGGAGCTAAAGGGCGCAATCATAGAAACAAAAACACTGCAAAGAAAAAGTAGCCTGGATGGCAATGGCATGCTATGCACAAAAATTTTAATAAAACAAAATAAAAAGCATGAAAAAACATAAAAAGAAAAAGCAGACTGTGACGGTGTGCCAGGTAGATTTGTTCAGATGGCTGGTGGGTCCCTCCTTTAAGCCATCATCTGTTTTGAATAAAAGTGTTCTTTTTTCCTTTGAGATTAAAGAGAAAAATAAAACAAAACAAACAAACAAAAGAATTATGTCATGCCCACATTATACTTACGTTATTGATGAACATGCGTATAACTTCTATGAAACAAACTGAACAATTTAAATTGAAAATTTTTATGTCTGAACATTTATTCCAAATGATTGATACATGTATCCAGTTATTCAAATAATTTTAATTTTTAAATTTAAAAAAATTAAAAAATTTTATAAATTTATGCTGATACTTTTCCAATTCTCTAAGTTCTTTTTTCATTGTAGAAGCAATCTATGTGCAAGGTTTCCTTGTTTGGGAAATCATTTATGTGTTTTGTAGCTTTCTTTGGCTAAAACTTTATTCTTCATGTATGATAAGAATATCTCTAAGACGAAAATTTGGACTTAATGATCCTTTAACCGACTTTGGAAAGAATTTGTGGAGTTTAGAGCTTCAAAACCATTCCTTTTTAGTCATAAGACAACTTATCATCCTTATGCCAAGCTTTTTTTTTTTTTTTTTTTGTGGGGGTTAGATGAAATAACAGAAAAAATAATGGAAATATATGATTTAATGTCTATGGACCACAGGATTAGGAAACTATATATACATATATATATATATATATAAAAGAGAGAGAGAGAGAGAGAGAAAAGAAAAGTGTTGGTCCCCTAACGATCCAAGTCCAAGAATGTACGTGGAGGGATGGTAGGGGCACATGCTATACGCCACCGTCATGGAAAAGCAAAATCTCAGAATCTTATGTCCTAAGTTCTAAAAGTACAATGCCATGCATAGTTTATGCCACGAAAGATTATAATATATTGTTGATGTCTTAATTAATTGTGTTTCAATGCTTTGTGTTTCTTTACTCCTCCATTGCAGGATTTTTAATATATTTGGCTATTCTTCAAGTCTACAATTAGTATGCTTTATCAATACTCTTGACATAAAGCTATATATTAGAATACATATACATATATATATGTGTGTGTGCACTTCAATAAGAAAATTCAAAGGTTGATGATACCATTAGAGGTGTAATAGTTAGGTTAATTACCCATTCAAATAGCATATACTGTCAGTAAATCATATATTGTCATATCATTAATGAAAAAGCATAAAATTTAACAAGTCTTTAAAAATAAATACACAAAAATTTAATTTTTTAACTTTTTTTTCTCTACAATCGTTTTAGAAAAAGAGAAGGATTGTGAATTTTGACTATAGTGTTTATTTTTTTTTCTTTCAAAATCCATATTGTGATTGCTAAGGGCTGATTGGGTTGAAAATTTTGAGTGAACTGTTCATACTTTTGCTTGAAAGAATGAAAATTTTTAATTTCTTTAACTTGCATTAGAGGAGGGATTTGGGGAGATGGGATCGAAAATTGTGTAATTGGCTTCAGGATTTTAAAATATTTCTTCAAGAGGGAATTCCAAAAAGTTGTGATTCCAAATTATGATTGTTTAAGTTGCTCCAAAAGACGATTTAGGTGTTATGCAGAAGTGATTTTTTTTTTTTTTTTGGGAAGAAGATAGAAGTCGTGAAGGCAGAAAAAAAAATAAAAAAAAAAAACTTAAAGAGTAATTATTCTGTTGTCAAAAACGCAACTTATTTTGTAAAATTAAAAAGGTAAATAAATAAATTTTATTTTATCAAATTGAAAATATGAAACTTTTATGTATTTATTTTTGAGGATTTATTAAATTTTATGTTTTTTCATTAATGATGTAATAACTTATTATTCACTAATAATGTATAAAAATTATATAATGATAATATATCAAATATAAATCTTATGATTAAGGACACAGTTTAATAAGTTTTCAAGTGCTTTAATTAATTATAAGAAGTGCATAAATTAATGTCATAGTATATATGAATGTATCTATATGTATGGCATTCTTTGATTATACACATTAGAATGTTAATCTCATTATTTTAATAGGTTTATTATTATTGTTGGTAATACAATAAGTATCATTGTTTTTTATGATTAAACTAATAATAAGAGGGAGAGGCCTGGTATTGCGTGCTGAAGGGTATGGACGGCTTGGTGGCCCACACTACCTTTTGAGAGGAACTCTGATTTTTGTTAGTTTGTGAGCAGACAAAAGCAGGGAAGCTTCTTATCGTCCCAATGGGTTTTCACACACTTAGAATCTGCAAAAGCCAAACTTCTCATATATCATATTCCATTTGTTTTAATCCCCCAATCATTCCCATAATTACAACTAATGGATGATTCAAATATGGAAGAATTTTTATCGCACAAGCTGCCTGGCTGGGCAACCGTGTAATAAAGGGGATATCTAAGGGTTAATGGTTTTGCCATTCATTCCAACAGTGGCCTATATAGTTCAATATCGTACAAGCTAGTTCAGTGCATGCTCTGTTTCATCACATTCTAAATCTGCCCATTTTCTTTTGCTATCTCTTCTCTCCCTCTCTTATTAGAACAGTTCCGCTATGGCTCCAATGAGTCTCCCTCCTGGATTCAGGTTTCATCCAACTGATGAAGAGCTTGTTGCTTATTATCTGGACAGGAAAATCACTGGTCGCACAATTGAGTTTGAAATTATCCCAGAGGTTGATCTCTACAAATGTGAGCCTTGGGATTTACCAGGTAATAATTATATATATATATATAGTTCTTTCCTTCTTTTTTTTTTAGTTTGTACGGAATCAAACCTGACTCGTTTTTCTGTCCTTGGCACTAACATTTCACTGTGAAAATTTCTATAATCTGATGGTTGTTAACAGATAAGTCATTTTTACCAAGCAAAGACATGGAGTGGTACTTCTACGGCCCAAGGGATAAGAAGTACCCGAATGGGTCAAGAACGAACAGGGCAACACGTGCCGGATACTGGAAAGCCACCGGAAAAGATAGGGCAGTACACTCTCAGAAGAGGGCGGTTGGCATGAAGAAAACATTGGTTTATTACAGAGGTAGGGCTCCCCACGGCATCAGAACTAATTGGGTAATGCATGAGTATCGCTTAGTCGACTCAGCTTGTGGCACTGCTCCATCTAGTTTAAAGGTACAGCCATGCACTTCTCACCAAAATTAATTAATTCCTCTTTGATATCTAAATATGCAATGGAATGATCAGCGCATAAGAAATTTGAACTGCATATGGGTGATATCTAGTGTAGCTGTCAACATTGGGCAGGTACGTTAATAAATTGGACATGAGATGGGTAAAATATTTTTTATTATTAATTTTATATTTTTGTATTATATATATTTTTATATTTATTTTATTTTTATCTTGTGGATATTTAATTGGTATGAATAATTTTTATACATATAGTTTATTTTTTAAAAATAATTTTTTTTATTTTTTATATTTATGTAATTTTTAAATAAATAAATATTAATATATAATTTTTTAAATGAAATATATTAATTTTAATTAATCTAAAATAAAAATTTATATTATGTAATAAAAATTCTATTTACTAAATATATATAAATATATAAGATATGGTATGAGATAGATATTACATTACCAATTTCTGTATCTGATAAAAAATTTTAAATCATACTTATCTCATCTCCATCTCCAAAATCTAATACCCATCACATCCTCATCCCTATTTAGATAAAAAGTTAGATTTTCTATCATGTATAAATAAAATTAACATCCCTAAGATCAGACATCCTAATTTTAATTTTCATAAAATTAAATTTCTAGGGTTAAGAAAAAAAATGATAATACGATTTTCTTTTTTATTTTGTATTCTACTAAATTACGAACGTTTGAATAGGGGAAGAAGAGTACACAACTGTTCAATAAATACACGTACAAAATGGAACACCTAAAAGCCACAATGAAAATCCATGAAATTTAATTTATAAAACGCATGAAATGAAATTATTGTGTGCTGTTTAATAAATTGAAAAAAAAATTCATTGAAAATTTTAGTAGTATATGTGGTGTCGTCTTCTGTCTTTAGGGTTGAATTGTTAATATTTTTATTACCAAAACGAATATGATGCCAATGATTATTATTTATAAGTGCATATATATAAAAAATATTAATATATATTCTTTCTATTTTTATTTTCTTTTGAAAAGAGTACAGCATACATATAAAAAATGATTATGAAAAAGACTCTTTGGTTCTAATCCTCCATTCTTTATAGGTGTACTAGCCAATGATCTTTCTTTCTTTTAAGCTATTCCTGTTTCTTTTTACCTCTTTCTAATATTCTTTTAGACACTTTGCATGTTACTCTTTTTCTACGTAAGTAAATTCAATTGATTGATGTTAATAATTTGGCAAAGCAGGACTCTTATGCTTTATGTCGCATCTTCAAGAAAAACATACAAATTCCTAAAACAAAAAAAGAAGCTATTGAGAATAATAATGTAGGGAAAGATATGGCTCGGGCACCAGAGGAACAATTATTTGGTGATGATGCAAGTGGATATGAAATTTTAAGAGGGAGAGAAGTTGAATTTGAAGATGAGAATTTCAATACTTCCTCTTCGGATGTCACTCAAGGAACACCCAATGAAACTGGCATGGCAGACGATTATCAACCCCCAACCACCTCAGATGAAGCAAACAGTTCAGCCAATATGTGTTCTCTTGGCGTAGATTTCTCCTCCGACCTAATTCAGGTATGATATAACAAGTACCAACAGACTATTATTTGAAAATACTATCTAAAAGTCGCCCACTGACATAGGCAAAGCTTCGGAACACCTTTAACCACCAAATCTTGCATGCCTTAGGTCATTGCAATGGGCCATCCCCGGATTCTTATAATAATTATATGCTTTAGACATCTTTTTATGTTGAAGACATGATTATCTCCTTTGCCAACACTGGATTTTTACAGCAATATTCTGCTTTATTGCGTGCTTTATTACCAAAGGCTTCAAAATCACTCCAACATTTCGGCTGCATTCACACAAACACATGAAAGTACAATCTGCTGGTCAATGTGGGTTGGAATTGGCCCACCAAGCAACCACTTTGAGTTGGCTTTCGATCTTAAAGTAACAAAAGTTGGTAGCAATGAAACTCACTCTCTTTTCCTAAAGCTCTCATCTCAACCCCGAAAGATCTCATAGACTGACTCAAATGCATGGCTTTCTTCACCATCTTCCATAACTTCTTTTGACTGACTCAAACATCTTTCTCCCTCATTTTCCACGTATCTATTTCTCTAACATCTCCACTGTCACTAACCTCGATGACATGTTTCTCTTTGATCTCATCTTTATCAGAATTTACGCAAAATTTCCATTCTGAAACACCTTCGCTTTTTCCTTTTTTTTTTTTTTTCTTTTCTTATCAACATCTATTTTGGACCCTTCAAACTCTTTTCAATTTGGATTTGAACCATTTCAGAAATACTCAAACATTTACTCCATTAGCTATGTTGCTAATGAGGTAATTAAAGTAATACTCCGAGTCCAAAATCTCAAAATGGACTTAATTCCAACAAAAATACTCATGTTTTAAGTTTACACTCATATTTTTTGTTATTAAAAATTGTAATTTGTTTGATAAACAATATCCTATTTCACATGTCCGTTTATGAATGAAGGAAATGCAGATGCCAGGCTACACAAATCTTCATTATCAAGTTCCATTTCCACCATTAGAGCTAGAAGACTTCCCACAGATAAATATATCAGAGACAAAGTCGTCCAAGGCCGAGAATATTGATGAATACATGATTTATGACAAGTACAGGGACTACATAAATGGATCGTTAGAAGAGATTTTCTCCCTTTGTTCCTCTAAGGACAATTCTATGCCCCTCTCCATGTATGATTAAACACACTAACAGCATTATACTTATTTATCTTTTTCATATATTATAATATTACAAAAAAAATCATTTTTAAGACAAAGGTAGAAGGTCTTGTTAGGGAAAATAATCAGCATTAGAGGATTATTTTGCCAAGCACAAGATGAAAAAGCTACATATTCTTGCTTTCCTTTTTTACCATTTTTTTCGTATTGTGGCTGAATAAATCATTTTATTTCTTTTGATCAATCAATGCATCAAGTTCCTATATATCTATATATTATTTATTAGATTCAAATTTTCACTCCGTTAGGTCTTATTGTGAACAAAATCGCAAGGAGCATAGACATTTAAAATTACAGTCAAAATTTTGGATTGAATCCATTTACCTTGCACCCCTAGAAATTTGTTTTTAATCTAACTTTTTTCCAAAACAAAAGGCAACAATCCACCAGAATGTCATTATAAGCAGAACGAATCCAGTCATAATTCCCATCACCCCAAAAATTTGCGATTGTTGGGCTTTAATCAATGCCAGCATGGCTTCTTGAACTAGCAAGCTGCTAGATCTACACCTAATATGAAGTCACCATTCTCTTTAAAATTCTACATTCAATTAGCCGCACTATCATTCTCTTATGTTGTAACACAAAATTCTCATCTTTATTCACTTAAAAAAACAGACACCCAATCGAGCTAGATAAAAAAATGAAGAAAATAAAGACAAAAGAAGAACCTGAAGCTATTAAAAGCGCCTCCTGTCCCTAGCGTCCATATATTTCAACCATTCTACAATTTTCCATTTGCAAAGAGACCCAACATCTTTTACATATTCCATTTTTCTGTGCTTCCTCCATTAAAATTCTATTTTTGTTTTGGAAATCGTCATGAGCCTATGAAACAAGAACAAGGACAAGGGATAAAACTATGACACGAAATTGAGTGATAAGAAAATTTTAAAAAAAACTAAGACGTGAAATAACAAAGATAGGATAATGAAATATATTTTAATTAACTCATTGCAATATATAAATTATTTTTATTTTTAATTTTTTATCAAAATCCTTTTTAAAAGTAGTTTTATCTCATAAAAAAACTAATTACATATTTTTAAAAGAGAAATTATCTTAAGATTCTAACTCGTAATAATTAATTAGTCAAAAGCCCAAAATATAATGCTTTGCTTTTTGGACTAGTCTAAATAGAATGTAATTTGGGCAGCTAAAGCACATGACCTAAGCCCATGTTATAATTATAAGAAAAGCTCTAATTTCTATTGCTCTTCTTCCTCCTTTCAAGTAGTGCCACGGTGCTCTGGTTCTGGTATTCTTTTTTTTTTTTTTTAGCCATTAACACAAACAACAGAATGTCTATTTTTTTTTCCTTGTCCTTCCCATGTCGGAGTGTGTTTAGGTTGTGTCTAGATCGTGTCCAATTTCGTTTTAATTTGTTGATGTATCTATGCATGTCCAATATGTATCTTATTGTGTCGACAGCGTTTTCACATCAAACACCGGTACGACCCTGATACACTGGGGAGACTGAGTCCGTGCTTTCATAGTCATAAGTAATGAATCATTAGCAGCCTTCCCTCCACGAGTCTTCACAATTTGCAATAAGTTTTTTCCTCAATTTCCTTCATTTCATTCTTTCTATTTTAGATAATTTAAAAATCAAAATTTCCTCAACCTCATACAAGTTTTTCGGTTGTTGAAATCCTATGCTCAATAGAGATGATAATAGATTGGAGTGGATCGAGTTTAATTTAGTTTTTTGAATAATGCATAATATTATAAAATTTTAAAATTCAACTCAAATTCGAATCGATCTTTTATTGAAATTGATTTAATTTTAATTGAATTTTATCTATTTCGGTTTAATCTATCAATTTTTTAAATTTAGTATTTTTGTTTTTACATATTATTTTAATATGATTTTTAATATATTTAAATAAATTTAAATATAAAATAGTTATTTTATAAAAATTTAAAATATATATAAGCTAATAAAATATAAAATAATAAAATATAAATTTTGGTTTAGTTCGATTCGATTCGATTTTTTTAGTTTTTCATTCCTTGATTCAAACCTAATATATACATTTAATAATTGAATTTAATCTGAACTGAATAAGAAAGAAAAACCAATCTAAATCAGATCGAATACTATGATTTCAAATTAATTTTCAATTTTTTGCACCCCTAATGATCCATAAGGAGTGAACCTGTGAATTCTCGCCCAAACTCGAAAAATCCGCCTAACTCATCTGAACTTGAACCTAACCCAACCCAATTTGACATAAAAGTCAACAACTTGAACTAGAATCAATTCAAAACTGAAATGGCCGAATCCGAAATGAAACGAAACGAAAATGGTTCAAACCTGAAATGGTCCGAAAACAAAATGACTCAAAATTAATCCAAAATAACTCAAGACTAAATTAAGTATAATTTTATTTAAAAACATTAATTTAATAAAAATAATAAATATAACACAAAGGATAACTTATTAAAATTATTGAAAATATCAAATTAATATATATATATTTTTAATATCAAACTAGTATAATTTATATATCTGTGATATGTTACATATAAAATTTCTTATAATTCATAATATGATTTTAAATAGTTATATATATTTTAATTATAATGGGTATACATACCAATGTATTATTTTGTAATAAATTATATAATCTCTTATAATTATACATGAGTATAAACTATCATGTGATAGAGTTAATAAAACCATTGATTGCTCCTTTTTGTGAGACTGTCAGTGCGCAAGTTGCTTCCAAGTAATAAAAGTGGAAGTAAGGTTTGTTGTTTCTTTGAGGACTATATGATGGTGCCAGATCAAGTACTGAAGTTATGCCTTTTAACTTTATATATAGATGGCTGAAATTGTTGTGCATTGAAAGGAACACAAAAAAGCCTGAAAATGTAAAGGCCAAAAAATCAAACTAAACAAAATAGGAATTTTGTTTGCAATGGTTTAGCCGAATGGAGCAAAGTAAAGAAAACAGAATTGCAATAAAATAAAATTGGAACTTTAATGGAACTGAATGCATCGAAATGAAAAATGGAATTTGCCAAATGTGCTTAAAAAAACAAAAGTGATTGCAAAATTAAAAGTGAATACCGAATGCTTTAATAGAAATGATAGTTAACTGAAACTAAATTGGGTGCACAAAAAGTAATCAAAACTAAAAGCTTTATAAAGAACACTACATGGCTTGAGATTGACATAAGAAAAACAATTTGCTTCAAAAGAAAGAGATCTTGCATAAACATAACAGAGACTTAATATTGAAAAAAGTTGAGAAAACAAAGGCTAAGTTGTCACTTTAGCCAAATAAAAATGAAAATAACTAAAGAAAACCAAAAAATAAATAAATAAATAAAGAAAAGTGGAAGAATGGTTTCAAGAAAGATGAAATTCATGGCCTATTTATAGCATAAAGTTCAACCAATGAGGGAATGAACCTAGACACTTTTAACTATGTGTTAGCTTTATAAGTGAGATGGTGATCCAAAAGGAGAGTGAATTAGATTTCTCCAAACTCTTTCCAAACAATGATTTTAAAGTAATTGAATGAAAAATTAAAAACACTATCAAAATATGATGCAAATAACAATAAATTGATAATCTTAAACCAAATGCAAGGTAAAGAGATAAAGATAGAGAAATCAAATATAAGGATTTATAAAAGTTTGGTTCTTCTCCACAAGACACCTACGTCTTCTTTCTTGGTTATCCACACCAAGGTTGCAATCCACTAATCTTGAATTAAAATTAAAACCCTATTTTTTTTTCTGTAAGGCTTAAGATAGAAACAATACACACTCTACTTTCTAGGCTAAGTAGCAACCTTTTAATTCCATAAATTCAAAAGGATACCTCACCTCTTGATTACAAAATCACTTAATAAAAGTGCAAACTAAAAACACCTCTCAAAGGCTAAGTGTTTGCCTAATGAAGTACAAAGAAATTTGATGAATGAACAATAACAATGAATTGGATACAATAAATACAAAGATATAGACTTTAAAGCTCTAAAACTCTTGATTTCTTTGAGAGAATGAATATATGACTTGTTTGATCTTACTATCTTAATTCATCAACATTCTTGATGTGTTGGAGTGGCCAATACATAAAAAAAATTGAAAAGCTAGTAGTTGGGAATGCTTGAGAGAAGAAAATAGATGTTGAAAGCATGAAAAAGTAGCCATTGGAGTTGTTCCAAGGCATACTCGATCGATCTTTTCCATGAGGAGATCGATCGGTTCACTTTTGTTATCCATTTCATGCTTGGAAAACAAGACCTGATCAATCCCTTTCGTGAGGGGATTTGTTGGTTCACTTTTGGAAGCCAAATTCACACATTGTAAGCATTACTCGATCGATCCCTTCCTTGAAGGGATCAATTGGTTCAAGGGGGTGATTGATCCCCTACATAAGGTGATCGATGCTTTCTTTAACCAAGAGTACCAACATGTATTCTGGAAGAAAAATCAATCGATCCTTTCCCTAAGGGGATCGATCCTGTCCATTAAGGTGAATGTCTTCTGTTTTGCATTCTACTCACTAGTTTGATCATATCTTGAGTTATACAAATTCAAATCACAAACCGTTTGAAGATTTAGAAATTAGACTTAAAGGGCTTTCTATCCAAATTCATCACCTAATTTATTGTGTACGAATTATAGTAAATTTTTAAAACTACCCATTGTGTAGTTTTTAGATAACTGCAAAGTGTCTAGTAAAAATTCAAAATCTTTTCTTAGAAAATTTGAATTTTGATTTTGTTTAATTCATTAGAAAGTAGACTCAAAAAGCTCTCCAACCATTTAAAATTTAAATATTAAAGTTTTGTGAATTAATACAGAAAAATAAAACAAATTCAATGTTGGAAAACTTTGTTATTGTAAAACAACTTTCTTAAGTTAATCTATTTCTCAAAACCAATATTATCAAAATTGTACTAAGTCTAAGATGAGTAAGTTCACATTAAAAACAACAATTGG